TCCTTATTATCTACACAGTTTCATGACATTCTGTTGTGTGGTTTGAGAGGAGTTGCGAAGACAAAAGGTTGCAGTAGTATATTGGGCAAATAAGTTCAAAGGGGCGTAACTCCTGGAAAAAAAATTGAATCGTAATTTCCTGTCGATATGCACATCTACGTAGTATGTCATTATCTGAAAAGGTTTCATGAAATTCTGTTGTGTGGTTTGAGAGGAGTTGTGATGACAAACTGTTGCAGTAGTACATTAAAGTAAATAAGTTCAAAGGGGCGTAACTCCTAGAAAAAAAATTGAATCGCAATTTCCTGTCGATATGCACAACTACATAGTATGTCCTTATTATCTAAGAAGGTTTCTTGAAATTCTGTTGGGTGGTTTGAGAGAAGTTGCGATGACAAGAAACAGGACTGACGGACGGTAGTATAGTGGGCAAATAAGTTCAAAGGAGCGTAACTCCTGGAAAAAAAATTGAATCGTAATTTCCTGTCGAAATCATATCTACATAGTATGTCCTTATTATCTGAAAAGGTTTCATGAAATTCTGTTTTGTGGTTTGAGAGGAGTTGCGATGACAAACAGTTGCAGTAGTACATTAAAGTAAATAAGTTCAAAGGGGCGTAACTCCTAGCAAAAAAATTGAATCGCAATTTCCTGTTGATATGCACAACTACATAGTATGTCCTTATTATCTAAAAAGGTTTCGTGAAATTCTGTTGGGTGGTTTGAGAGGAGTTGCGATGACAAGAAACAGGACTGATGGACGGACGGACTGACGGACGGGTCAAAAACATTATACCCTCCGCAACCCGTTGCGTGGGGTATAATAAAGAAACAGACATCAGTGTATGTTAAACAATTTGTTTATTACTTATATTGATTACTCAAAAATATATAGTATCAAAAATATCCGATTTTATTGTTATCTCTCCTTCATACATCTTCTTCAGATCTAGTATCTGCTTTAAAGGGTACATTATTTTAAAATGAAAAGATTGAATACTGATTTTTTTTAATTGTAAATTAAATATAAATATATATATTGAAATCTATTTAGTGACATTTATCACACTATAACATAAACACATTAAAGTTGTATGTTGATGAATAAGTTCTCACCTTATAACAACTTTATCCCAGCAAGTAACCCAATTGAAACCTGATGCTAACCTGGAATATAAAAGTAGTCAGTTATACTAAACTTTCCTAAAAAAAATTATTACACATGTACTAAATTTAAAATTGCACTAGGATAACAAAAAATCATGGAAAAAATATTTGGTGTTCTGAATTATAAACTCAGTTTTATATTTACCCAAAAAATTCAACCGGCAATTCATCAGTGTAAAAATTATTTTTTGGTACTCAAGAACCTTATGAAATTGATTTCAAATATTATATTACTAAAAAGATGTTTGATTACCTACCAACATGTTAACAATATCAGACATCCAAGTCTTACTCCCAACACCATGAAAACATCATCATTATAACAGCCTAAAAAAAAAAATAATAAAAAAATAATTACTTGTTTTACAGATCAATCTGTCTCTAAGAAGACTAACAAAATAATGCTATGTTTCATTTATTAAAACCTGTTATACATTATCATCTTCACTATATAAACTTTAAACTGCTAGAGATAGCAAGTGCACGTATATGTATAAGACAATGATTTTGGAATATTCAATTACAAAATTTGTAAGGGTTCCGCGGAACACAGTGTCTCGCCTACTTTTGCTGTTAATCACAGGCTCAACAAAAATGAGGAAAAAAATTAATAAAAATATTCCTCTCTATACTATCTTTTGATTGTAAGTAGCTTCTGTCCAAGTTTGGTAAAAATCCAGGATAATTTATGAATCTAATAAATGTTTTAAAAACTTAAACTGCAGAATGTATGTAATGTTGACGAAGAAAAACTAAGTCCATTTATAAGTAAAATACGGAAAAAATGGAATAAAATTTTATCAAAATTTCCTTCTAGATACTAGTTTTTGATCATAAACAAGCTTCTGTCCAAGTGTGGTACAAATCCAGGATAGTTTAAGAAAGTTGTTAAAATTTTAAAAACTTTAACCACAGAGTGAATGTAATGTTAACTGGCAGAAAAACTAAGTCCATTTATAAGTAAAATACGGAAAAAATGGAATTTTTATTTATAAAATTTACTTTTGAATATAATCTTATGATCATAAACAAGCTTCTGTCCAAGTTTGGTAGAAATCCAGGATAGTTTAAGAAAGTTATTAAAATTTCAAGAACTTTATCCACAGAGTGAATAAATGTGGATGCCGCCGACTACGACGATGATGCCGACGACGGAATGTAGGATTGCTATATGTCTCGCTTTTTCGACAAAAGTCGAAGGCTCGACAAAAATCAGATGGTTTTGTTCTCTTTTGATGGTTCTTAAAATCATTTTCATAACAGCGTAGACAACCCCAATACTTATGTTGGTAACAATACTAACTCAATTACTGTAAATTCAGAAACTATTGCAATGTTTTTATTATTGCGAAAAATGCAACATGGTTGTATTGGCAATAATTTAAACTAGCAGAAGCGGATTATGTAAAATGTGATCATGAAGAGTCAAAAATTAATTTTATGGTTCAATAAATTCAAAATAAATTATAGCCATTCATTATAAATAAATTTCTATCAAAAATAAGGCTCAAAGAACTTTTTATATTATTTATATTAACCATAACAACGTATATGGATGTTGGCGTATGAATACACGACGTCAGAGTGGGCGTTGCCATAAAAATTGACAACATTGAAAATAAAAGTAATACTTTTAACCAATCAGAAGACAGTAAATACACCAAATTTATTTATTAATAATTGCACGCAATAATTTCTGAATTTACAGTACCTTTAACTTGTTTGCCATTGGCTATCGATAACTGTGTTACAGTGATTTTACGCTCACTCAGTCTGTCAGAGCCTGGCCTTCCAATAGGGATTTAAATAGAATAAAAGAGCAAAGTACATGTAGGCACAAGAGAAGAAAAAAAGAAAATAATTATTCAACATTTAAATCAAGACACAAGGTTTAGTCCTCTGCTAGTAATTCGTACTATTTGATGTAGGCATTTAGAACCCCAGTTTAAATGTCTATAACACATTCAATGTGACAAGTGGGCGTTACAGACAAACTTTCACCTTATCTGACCCAGTCAATAGATAACATGAGCGCGCCAAGAAATCATCTTGTCCACGCTTTTATGAAAGTGATTCTATATCAATTCAATATTCAAACATTTACAGACTTTCATAAAAATTTGTTCGACCCAAATAAGTTTACAAATTCATTGATAACAACTTGCATACAGTTGGTTTCTATCCAACACAGCTCACTCGATACCAGACAGAAAACAAATGTAAGACTAGATGCTCTAAAAATCAAACACTGATAGAAAAGAACCCTTAAAAAATAATGTTAAATGCCTATATATATATTATTACCATAAAATTTGTGGAATATATAAACTTACCACATATTTTTCATGGTAAAGCCTCAGACTTGGTAAAGATTAAATTGACCTTCTCCTTTAGAGCTGCTCTCCCGGCTGACAAGGTGGCTCTCCTCATCATCTTTACATCTTTTTTTTTTAAATATAGTTTTATACATTAAATATATCAGATGCGTTTCCAATAAATCCCCTTTCTTGAAAATTTCAGCAAATCAATTGTTAATGACCCAAGATTTCTCCCACCCTGCATACTTATTATCTAGAGCTCTGCTTACATTTATTTTTTTTTTATTACAGAGCTCTAAATAATAGTCAATATTAGCTAGTATACATCTGATATTAAAAAAAAATGTACAAACATGAATATCCAAGTAGATGAAAATCCTAACATTGAGGGAATTTCAAGTATGTGGAGTAACAGGGTATAATAAATTGCCTCCCTTTGACCCAAATTTCACCCTGTTCAGACTCCACATCCTTGTTATATTAAACAAAATAAATAAAATAGTACAATTAAAATTAAAAAATAGATTGATAACAAAAATCCAACACATTTCAATGAAATATTTCGTACTGATCGACTTATGGTGGCAGAGTGGTCCTATAAGTAGTTCAACTACTGTATCACTAGCCTGTCAACACTGAGAACCCTCACATGAAATGTTTAACTTCATTCTTAATTTGACTAGGGTTTGCCCGTTTCCCTGATGAAGGTGATGTTTTCACCAGGCACTCTGGCTGTCTCCACAAATAAAAATTTACAGCCAAAATTATAGTAAATCATGTTAAAGTGGTGTTTAACACCAAAAATCAACCAATCCAATTTCAACAAGATGTTCTTCAACTATGCCTTTTGTATAATTACTCTTTAAAAAATATCACCTTGGTTACAAACCAAAATCAGCTAAAAATGACAAAAAAAGTGCAAAAAATATATTTCTAACTTCTTAACTTCGTAAATTTCTCTGCATTAGAGCACCCTTGTCACATATCTTAAAGATGTTAAAATTAACATGAAAGAAAAGGTTGTAAGGGGATATATTTACTGCAGACCATTATTCATCTTTTTAGTTTACACAGTAGAGAGGCATTTGCTATGGTAAGGTATTTTGAAACGTTGCTAAAAAAAACAAAAATAATTACAATTTTTGCTAAGAAATTTGGTGGGAATATTCACATCGGCAGATTTAATTGCATTAACTACATGTATGTATAAAGTAACTTATAAAATTTGAAAGTATCTCAAATCCTAAAATAACAAAAAGATGGCAAAAATATATACATTACAATTTGCAAAAAAAAAATACATTTTAATAATTGAACATTTTTTTTTTTTTTCTTTCTTTTTCTTTTAGATTATCCATTCTTAAACTGCTGGAAGTGTTTTGACTAGACATGAGTATAAACGGAAAATAGAAAGAATTTTTGTAATGTCAAATACAAGTTAACCTACAACTTCCAATCTTGTTGAAAATGGAGAATCTTTACATATTTTATTTTTTTTTTTTTGTAAAAAAATTAAACATTTTCTCATGCATACACAAAAATAGTCTGAATTACATTCTTTACTGTTGCAGTTATATCACACAACCATTTTATGCAGCCACAGTTATCTGAAAAAGAAATATACATCATGAACATTGAAATAATATTTAATGCAAAACAATTATAATTAACTGAGCATTACAATTATAATGTAAAGAACATTTCTTTTTCTTTGTTATAAAGTGATTTGTTGACATAAATTTTAAAGTACCAGTATTTCTTAGCGATAAAAGGATGAAAAACAAGTCATTGGCTGATGTCTTGACAAATATCTTTTTAACATTGTTTTATAGCTATATATAGTATATCAGGCTATTAACATACTTGATTGAATTTTTTAACATTTAGTCATGTTGAACCTTTATAGCTAACTATACAATATAGGTTTTGCTCATTGTTGAAGGCATAGGGTGACATTTAGTTGCATCCACATAAGTTGGTCTCTGGTTGATAGCTGTCTCATTGGCATACATACCACACTTACATATTTTCATATATGGGGACAACTATAGATAAAAAACTGAAATCCCGAGATTTCGCATTATACATTATACTTTTTGACTTCCCTTATATATCTTTATATCTCCTTCTAAATTGTTTATTCAACTATAAGTAAAGAAGACATTAATATGTAAGATTTACATCTGTGCCTAACAAAAATCTTGGGCTTTAAAATGCTCTTGGATGAAAAGTTCATAAATCTATGTATTGATTCTTACCATAAAAGTCAGCTCCAATGCCCACTCCCAGCTTCAATCCTTACAGACAAGCTGTGATGCTAATATAACCTGAAATATAAAATGATAATTCATTAATAAAACCCTGTAACTCGGAAACGTAAAATCTAAAATTTATAAAAATCGAAAGGGAGCTCATGTCAATAGATATAAACAATTCACCACAATTTCTTGCAGGTTGGTAAAAGCATTCTTTCGAGTTATTGTCCGAAAACTGGAAAAACCCCCTTTTTTTAATGAATAAAACCCCATAACTCGTAAACGTAAAATCTAAAATTTATAAAAAATGAAAGGGAGCTGACACGTCAATAGATATAAACAATTCACAAGTTTTATGCAAATTGGTTAAAGTGTTTTTGAGTTAATGTCCTACATGTTGACAACGGACGGACAGACGGACAACGGTATACCATAATACGTCCCATAAACGGGCGTATAAAAACTGTTTAAAAGGTTCTTTGTTGGTATTATGTATGTATATTGAATAGATTGAATGATTGGTTGCTTAAGGTCCAGTGGTAAATCAATACATAGAAATAGTCTAAAAATGTGTTATATATATGTCAAGAACATATGGATGAGACAGCAATCCAACAAGCCAACATATTTTTATGTAAACAATTCAGATCCTAAACTTTACTCTTATTTGGTTACTGATATAATAATAAGAGTAGATTCCTGTAAAAAATCTTTTAAGCGATCAAATCTTGTTTTTACATAAAATATTTATAATACATTTGAGTTTTCCAAAACAGGACTAACATACTGGTACATACCTTTGTATTAGCTGTATAAGACCACCAAGTCTTATTCCCACACCATGAAAACATGTCTCAGAAAGAACCTGAAATGAAATTATAATCAACACATTATACATTTTGTAAATCAATTTGTGTGTTACCAATAACCTAAAATTTACTAAATATTGTTCGATTTCTTATTGCAGGTAGACAATTGTATAAAATCATTTTTTTTAAATCAATATAAAAGATAGAAAAGTAAAAAAACGTCAGATTTAAATTTAACTGCACAAGAAATATCTGAAATATTTTACAAAGTTATCTCCCATTGAATGCAAAATCGTGTTTTAAATTGTACTGGTCTTTTCTTGAAGTTTAATGACTATTTTTAGGATTAACTATTGATATTTTAATAGAAAATCTTGTTCATGTATCTTGTATCTTTAAATACTAAACTGGTAAATTAATTCATCAATAGTGTTTTAAATGCAATATTTCAGAAGGGTCTGTTATCTTAAAAGATCTGGCTAAAACAAACTTGCCTTTTCTATTTTTATTGTAAAGAGTCAGACTTGGTTGAAGATTTAATTGACCATCTTCCTAAGAGCTGCCATCCTGGCTGACAAGGTGGTTCTTCTCAATATCTTATTGTCAATCTATGTTTTGTCCATTTTTTTTAAGAAAATAAAGTAACATACATAAAAAATATCAGATGCACTTTCAATTAATAAACTTTTTGAAAAATTTCAGGTAATTATTTTAAGTGACACATAATTTTTCCCACAAAAGTATTTGAAGTTAAACACAGTATTATACATTACCTCCCTTTGACCTAAATTTCACCCTGTTAGAACTCCCCATCTTTGTTATATATAACAAAAAAACATAAATAGTATACCGGTAATCAAAATAAAAAAATAATTAAATTACAAAAATTCAACACATTTCAATAACATATTTAGTGTGGATGGAGTAATGGTGGCTGAATGGTCAAAGTAGTTCAACTACTGTATCACTAGCCTGTCAACACTCTGAACCCTCACATTGTAGGTGTGTTTAACGTCAATCTTAATTGACTAGAGTTGCCAGTTTCTCTGTTGAAGGGGATGTTTTCACCAGGCTGTCTCCACAAATAAAAACTGGCAGCCAAGATATAGCAAATCATGCTGAAAGTGGTGTTAAATACCAAAAATCAATCAATCTACTTTCATCAAGATATTCTTCAACTATGCTTCTTGTAAAATATTCTTAAAATGATATACCCTTTGTTATAAACTCAGCTAAAAATGACACAAAGGTGAAAAAATATATTACAATTTGCCAAAAAAAAAAACATTTCAATAATTGAACATTTTTTTCTTTTCTTTTTTTTTTTTTTTCTTTTTTTTTTAGATTCTCCATTCTTAAACTACTGGAAGTGTTTTCTCTAGACATGAGTATGAACAGAAAATAGAAAGTAATTTTTGAAATTTCAAAGACCTATTAACCTACAACTTCCAATCTTGTTGAAAATGGAGAACCTGTACATAATTTTTTTTTTCTTTTTGTAAAAATTATAAACATTTTCTCAAACATACACAAAAATAGTCTGAATTACAATCTTTACTGTTACAGTAAAATCACATAGCCCTTTATGCAGCCACAGTTACCTGAAAAAGAAATATACAGAATTAAACGTAATTGTCAAAATCTGAAAATTGAAACAATATCAAATGCAAAATAATAAATAACTGGTCATTGTAATCATGATTCATAAAACATTTCTCTTACTTTGTTTAAAAGTGATTTGCTGATATATTTTTTGAACTACCAGTCTTTATTAGCAGAAAAGGATGAAAAACAAGTCAATGGTAGATGTCTAACATATTTCTTTTTTTACATATTGTTTTTCTTGTATTGGTTCTTACCATAAAAGTCAACTCCAATGCCCACTCCCAGCTTCAATCTTTACAGACAAGCTGTGATGCTAACCTGAAAAATAAAATGATTAGTCATTCAAGATTGTTTAAAAGGATCATTTTTGATATACTGTATGTATATTCCATATTTTGAATGATTGATTCATTTGATTGTTGGTTGCTAAATGTCCAGTGGCAAATTAAATAAAAGTCTATAAATATGTAATAGAAGTTGAGAACAGCAAACCAACATCCCAACAAACTTTTACATAATCAAATCAGATAATAAAATTTACTCCTTTAAAGGCAATTAAAGAAAACAAAGACTTCTTACCAAACTCCTACAAACCTTCACGCTTAGAGCACATGCTATTTCCAAATACATTTTATAATACTTTTTCTTTTTTCAAAACAGGACTAACATACTGGTACATACCTTCGTATTAGCTGTATTAGACCACCAAGTCTTATTCCCACACCATGAAAACATATCACAGAAGAACCTAAAAAGAATTAAAAAAGACACATTATATATTTTACAAATCCATTTCTCTCTAAATATAAAGTCACTATATAATGTTCTGATTTCTTACAAAATGATTTACACAAAGTATCAACACAAGTTTGTAAGATAAACTGTTGACAGAGATGTCTCGCCTAGCAGCGGAAAATGAAAAACATCTGATGATTAGCAACATTGCTAATTAATTCGATAATTTGTAAGTAATGCAAATAAATACAAAATGTCATTGATCTATAGCAAGGAGTAACTATTAACCTGACTAAACAGAAAACTTGACATAATAAAAAACAAGAGTGCACACGCTGAAATGTCTCGCCTTCTTTACTAATCATTGATATTATGTTGATAGTCCTAAATATTAAGCTTTACTACAACTATCAAATACACTTAACATGATCCAAGAAAATGAGGTCAAGGTCATATAAACCAAACAAGAAATACATGTACACCTTACAATCATTCAATACACTAAATATAGTTGACCTATTGTTTATAGTTTCTAAGATACAGACTTAACCAAGAAAACTAAACATTGACCAATGAACCAAGAAAATGAGGTCAAGGTCAGATGAACAATGCCAGGCAGACATGTACTACAGCTTACAATCCTTCCATACAACAAATATAGTTGACCTATTGCTTATAGTATTAGAAAAACAGACCAAAACACAAAAACTTAACACTGCATCAGCAATGAACCGTGAAAATGAGGTCAAGGTCAAATAAAACCTGCAAGACTGACAGGTACATCATAAAATATTTCCATACACCAAATATAGATGACCTATTGCATAAAGTATTAGAAAAAAAGACCAAAACTTTGACCACTGAACCATGAAAATGAGGTCAAGGTCAGAAGACACCTGCCAGCTAGACATGTACACCTTACAATCATTCCATACACCAAATATAGTAGACCTATGGCATACAGTATAAGAAAAACAGACCAAAACACAAAAACTTAACTATAACCACTGAACCATGAAAATGAGGTCAAGGTCAGATGACACCTGCCAGTTGGACATGTACACCTTACAGTCCTTCCATACACCGAATATACTAGACCTATTGCTTATAGTATCTGAGATATGGACTTGACCACCAAAACTTAACCTTGTTCACTGATCCATGAAATGAGGTCGAGGTCAAGTGAAAACTGTCTGACGGGCATGAGGACCTTGCAAATATAGTTATCCTATTACTTATAATAAGAGAGAATCTAACATTACAAAAAATCTTAACTTTTTTTTCAAGTAGTCACTGAACCATGAAAATGAGGTCAAGGACATTGGACATGTGACTGACGGAAACTTCGTAACATGAGGCATCCATATACAAAGTATGAAGCATCCAGGTCTTCCACCTTCTAAAATATAAAGCTTTTAAGAAGTTAGCTAACGCCGCCGCCGGATCACTATCCCTATGTCGAGCTTTCTGCGACAAAAGTCGCAGGCTCGACAAAAACTTATTAAAATTAATACATCAATGGTGTTTTGCATGCAGAAGATCAGAAGGGTGCTGGCGTGTTGTCTTAATATGCACTTCTTGTCGAATATTTCTAGAAAATGTATACAAATATTTGGCTTAAATAAACTTGCCTTCTTAATTTCTTGGTAAAGCCTCAGACTTGGTTGAAGATTTATTTGACCATCTTCCTTGGAGCTGCTATCCTGGCTGCTTTCAAAGGTTTTCCATCATAGTTTTTTATGCTAATCAGTCCACTGAATCCATTTCATCTAAGTAATGAAATGTCCTTTCCATTGTACATTATAAATTGTACAATAGTCACCAGAATGTTCCAAGGCATCTCACATTATTTTTCCAATCATGGAAACTGAAGAAATTCTCAATTTAAAATACAAATAATTTATTAAATTCATTTAAAAAGTACTGTAAAAATACCAGACATGCTTTTAAACAGGTAACTTGTATTTTGATAATTTACAAAATGTATTCTGTACCCCACAATTTCTTCGACTCATTAAAAGTATATTTTATAACTATGTTTACATTATTTTTTTTATTTACAGAGCTCTAGATTATGAATAGCTTTTATGTAAGTTACCAGACATCTGATATGAAAATACTTATACAAATGTAAGAAAAAAAGTACAGTGTAGTAATAGTATAATAAACACATATAAATCAACATTTTTTAAATATTTTGAAGCATAGTTTAATAAAAAATATCTCATTTTCAAGGTTTACTACTCATGTACATAGTAGTCATGTATAGTCCCAAAATTTGTAAAAGCCTCTATAGATTTGCAAACTCTCTGTGAATTCCAAAAGATATGGGTTAAAAACTATTTATTTTACCTTTGATGAAAAATTACTTAGTTCCCAAGTCAGGAAAAAAATTATCAAACAATTCCATAGTACCAAGTGGACAACTTAAATATTTGTACAATCAATGTGTGAAGTTAAAAAGATTGAGATTGAAAACTGCAGGAGTTGATTACACAAAATCAGTACCATCTTTGAAAATTTTGGAAAACAATCATCAAGATCAGAATTAAGGGAAAAATGGGGGGAAATTCCTCAAACAATTTCATATAAGCAGGTACACAACTTCAAAATGTACGCAATTATTCTGTGAACGAAGTTTCAGTGGTACAAGAAAAAGAAGCTGAAATGAAAAAATACAAATATGATGCAAAATGATTTTACATGTATCAATTATGAAATCTTTAAATTTAATAAAAAAATTTAGAAAGAAAAAATTAAGAACTCAAAGAAATGATATAAATACTGATTCTTTATAATAAAAATTAATTTCAATACTTTATAATTTAAATTAGTTTCAAAACTCAATTGGCACGTAATACTCAATAAAATAGATTTTTACTTTTTACTTTAGTTTTATACTTGAAAGAAAAATAGTAGTAAAATTTACAATTGAAAAAGTAAAATTTTTTTGTTCCCAGATTATTTATGATCATAGTATTTTTGATTGGTTCATATCAAAATTTGTTTTATGTAAGATTACTTCCAAAGACTTTTGTCAGAAAAAAAGGAAAATCACTGATATCTTGACAATAGTTGACTGAGGCAAGGTTACTGCACTTTCCAGAATCATTGGTTCCTTAAATGGATAAGAACCAGAAGCAGCCAATATACAGACTTACAGAAATCAGCTCTTTTTTGCTACCGGGAAAAGAAAACAGATTACCAGTTAAATCTAAAATAGTCTGGTTATCTTTAACTTTTTTAGTGATTAAATCCCCAAAGTCTGAAACAGGATGTAATATAAATCTAAAACTGCTTGGTTAACAGAACTGATTGTATGCTATCGCTCAGGCAAAAATAATCACGTATATAATGCCTACCCATGTTAATACTACAATAAAGTATAGCTTGCAACAATTATTTCTTAATTATTATGGACTAATGGAAAACTCCTTTGAACTAATGAGGCTAAAGTTGGATCCCTGTTTAAAAGAGTCAAGCTCTTAGATTACTCTTTGTCTGGCCATGAGTTTCAAAAAGGATCCAATGAAGAATAGCTGCAGTCAGTTATTGATAATTGGATTTTACTTATTTTATTTTTTTAAAGTATTTTACGATGGCAAGTGCTTTACCTATATTGTAATTACCAAATTTGAAAAAGATAGAATGGTTTGATACCAAGGAGCAAATTAATTTATGTTGTAATTCAAACGGTATGATAGGGTTAAGATCAGTCTAATACCTTTTTCAATAAAAGATCTAAATTGTATAAAATGAGCTATATTTCAACAAACTTATGATTTGAAATTTGAAATTTTTGTGTTGTACAATCTACTCCTTTTCATGTACACATGGTAAATAGAATAAAATAGACCAGTTTTCAGCTCCTTTTTTGTGATCTTGAAATGATCCTGCTCACTGTCAATACTTTTGATTGCAAAAATGAAAAATTGTTTCAAGAAGCTGGACAAAATTATCCTTTAATATATTGATCACAGAATGGCTTGGGAAGTTAAAAAGATTAATTTTCTATTAAACGGGAAATTTTTACAAAGAAATGCTTAAACTCAAGACAATTTAATTTTACAAATTACGATGAGCAATTGTTAAATGGGACTAACAAGTAAAATTAAAACATTAATACCAGTTGTCAATTTTGGTCTCATAATGAAGTTATCATTAAATGTCTGGAATCTGTGGATGAAAACCTAGTGTTGAAGGTGAGAGTTGAAAATTAACCCAAGGTTGAGAAGCTTGAAGCAAAGGGAGATAACTACTGTAAGATATCGGGATTGATAAGTTAGATAACTCTTCACTTGGAGATGATGATAGTTTCAGATAACTCAAAATGAAGTTTTTAGGGTATTGGAAATCATTATAAATTTTGTTGGTCATCTCAACGAGATTGATTTTCTCCCTTGAGCCCGTACCACGAAAGTGAGAAAAACAATCAAGTTGAGATGACCAATGATAATCTGTTTATCGCTATTTTGCTTATGACGTTGAAATTTACATTGACAATGGCATGCACAGCCTTAGTTTCTAGAGATGCTTTCTATATCTTTCTACTATGCTGAGAAAGGAAATTATCAGTAAGATCAAAGGAAAATTCAGTAAAATAGTGATAATAATATATATATCATAGATATTTATTATTGTTCACCAAATATTAAGACTTGTACAAGCTTTCAGTCATGTAAGAATTAATAACCTTTGCGATTATGTTTATAACTCTATAATAAATGTAGATTAAACATCCAAATTCTTTTTTGTATGAATTTTCGTTATGGCTTGACTGTTATAAAAATGTATTTTTACTTCTTTATTATCTTAATAGCAATCAGTGCTTTAAAGATTTAGATACCCAGAAACAATTTTGAAGAAGATAAAGTATACCTAAAAAACTTTGGGGATCATTTTCCACTTCCCCTGAATTCAACTTAATTTACGAGAATATGTTATCTAGTTTTCCATTTCATCATAATATGTCAAATACAATTTAGATTTTGATTTTGATTGAAGATATTCATTTT